CGCTCGAGGACGAACGGTTATTTTAGAGGTGGAGAATGTGATGACCCGATAGGTCATCTAGAGTTTTAGAGCCTAATTTGTGTTTTGAAGCCTCATGTTCCTCATTTTAGCCTTCCTCGATTTGCGTGCACAGCCCGGGGAATTTTTCTGTATTGTAATTTGAGACTTGGTTGTATGCCCGGAATCAAATTCGGAAGTCCCTACCTCGAGTTATCGTATTTTGTTGAAAAATTGAAGTTTGAAGGCTTAATGAATCTAAAAGTTTGACAGATGTTTGACTTTATTGATATCGGGTCCGTATTTTGGTTCCGGAACCCGGTATAGGTCCATTACTATATTTATGACTTGTTTGTCAAATCTGGTGAGAAACGGAGTTGGTTTGACATGATTCGGACGTACGGTTGTTAAAATAGAAGTTTATGAGTTTGCTTGAAAATTTCATTTGATTTGGTGTTCAATTCGTAGATCTAGGTGTTATTTTGGTGATTTGATCGCGCCAGCAAGTTTGTATGATGTTTTTGAACTTGTGTGCATGTTTGATTTGGAGCCCCGAGGGCTCTGGTGAGTTTCGGATAGGCTATGGAGTGAGTTTTGGACTTAAGAAAGTGTTGGAGTGCTTTAGTTCTCGTGCAGGCCTCAGACCTCGCAATTGCGATGTTAGGCTTCGCATTTGCGATCTCTGTCAAGTTCGTATTTGCGAGCTACTCCATCGCATTTGCGAAGAGTAGCTGGGGCACCTCAGGTTCGCATTTGTGACCATCCTTCGGAATTGCGAAATGGGGCTGGGCGACAGTCAATCAAACGGTCGCATTTGCGGAGTGGCTATCGTTCGCAATTGCGAACAAATCATCGCAACTGCGATGATAGAAGAAAATGTGAGACTTCACATTTGCGAAGAAAAGCTCGCACTTGTGGAGTTCGCAATTGCAAACCCCAGGTCGCAATTGCGACATCTGCGACTGATCAAGTATGAGTTTGACAAGATTTTCTCTCATTCTTCAAATTTTCAAAACAAGAAAACCCTGGAGGCAATTTTCCCAAGAGTCCTTCTTCCCCACTCCATTGGTAAGTGATTCTAACCTATTTTCTTTCAATCTTTCATTACATTTCATAAGATTTCAACCTAAAATCTAGTGTTTTGACGGGGAAAATTGGGCGTTTGGGTAGAATTAGTGATTTTGGTAAAATTAGAATTTAGACCTCAAACTGAGGGCGGATTTCAAAACAAATTACATAACCAGGCTCGGGGGTGAATGGGTAATCGGGTTTTGGTCCGAATTTCGAGTTTGGACCAAGCGGGCCCGGAGTTGACTTTTGTTGACTTTTCAATAATGACCTAAATTGAATCTTTTGCAATCGTGGGTAGTTCCTAAGGATTAATTTGAATCGTTTGGTTGGTAATTTGCTAGATTTTATTGGTTTGGAGGCTTGTTTGAAAGGCAAAGCTTTGGTTGAGCTTTGAGTTGAGCTTTGAGTCGATCTTTGGAGCTAGGTAAGTGTCGTGGTTAACCTTCACTTGTGGGATTAGGACTTGTTTGCCTATTTGCTACATGTATAGATGTTGGGTTCAACGTATATGTGAGGTGGCGAGTACTTATGCATTGTTGTTGAGTTAAAGCATGCGGGTGGGACTTGTTCCTTGTAATTTATTGCTTACTTTGATCATGTTATCCATGCTTAGACTAGTTACTTATTAAATTGATCGTTATTTTCGTATTTATGGGCTTTCTGTGATAATTGAGTATTGTTTCTAAAGTTGAGGTTGGTATTGTGGAACCATTGCTGACGTAAGACTTGTTCTTGTTGATTCTATCTCCCTGTTGTTATATGTTCATTGTTATATGGTATGGGAGAGTGTTAATGCATGGAGAGTGGTGTCGTGCTGTATTTGAGTGTTAATGCACGAAGGGTGATGTTGTGCCATATTGTGAGAGTTAATGCACGAAGGGTGATGTTGTGCCATATTTTGAGAGTTAATGCATGAAGGATGATGTCGTGCCGTATCTATTGATATATGATGAAAGTGAGAGTAAAAGCAGGAAGGGTGATGCCGTGCCGCATAATTGTGTCATTGTGAGGGTGAGAGTAAAAGCGCAAAGGGTGATGCCGTGCAGTTTTGTTCATTGTGTTTATTCATTTTTACTGGTTAAAGACATATTAACTGTTCTAGTTATCATTTTTACTGTAACTATCGTATCTTGTACCCCTTTCGCATGTCCCCTCCCAATAGTACATGTTTAGCCTTTATCTATAGTTATCTTGTACGTATATTGTTATCTGCACAGGTTATTTACGTGGTGTCTTGTCATAGCCTCATCATTACTTCGTCGAGGTTAGGCTCGACACTTACGGAGTACATGGAGTCGGTTCTACTAAAACTACACTCTGCACTTCTTGTGCAGATTTGGTATTGGCCCCAGCTATTCGTGAGGCGTAGCAGCTCGGATTTGCTCATTGGAGACTCGAGGTAGATCTGCTGGCGTCCTTAGACCTTGAAGTCTCCTTCCATTTCCCTATTTACTGTTCTTTTCATTCGAGACAATTGTACTTATTTCAGACTCAGTTTGTAGAAATTCTAGAAGCTCGTAAATTGTGTCTCCCGATCCGGTTTGTACTACATATTATTGGTTTTTATGTAATTCCGCTCTCAGTTTTAGTTTCAAATTAGCTTAATTGATTGTACTTATTGAAATTGGCTTAAAATTCCTCTAACGTTGGCTTGCCTAGCAAGTGAAACGTTAGGCGCCATCACGGTCCCGAAGGTAAAAATTTCGGGTTGTGACAATTATAATTGGTCAGATTCATAATTTTGACAGTAGCTCTTCATGAAAAAAAAAAACTATACAATTATTTTTGTTATATTATAATATTGATTTTTTTAATAAAATCTATAAAATTATACAAAGGAAACGGCATTTTTATCTTTGTAAGGTAGAGGTAAAATTTTGCGTACACATTACTTTGGAATTGAACACATTACTTTGGAATTAGGCTGAATTTGTTGTTGTACGGAAGTACAAAGGAAAAACAGGTTTGAGCAAAAAAGTTGGTTGGCGCATTTTGGTCAAGCGGACATCTAATTTAGACCAACAAATTCATCTGTATGTGAATGATTATGATTTGTAATGATGATAATTTAATAAATATATAATCCTAGAAACCTAGTAAGATGATTCCACTTGACTATATATCCCCAATTACTTTCTAATGGATTTTTAATCCTGATTAATTATCATGGTAGTATTTACTGTTCTTTAAATATTTTTTTTTCCTTAAAAAGCTTTGTAATTAATTAAGTAGGTCCAAGTCTAAAAAGACTGTGAAGTCCAAAAAATTCTTGGATTAGGTAGGGTAGCAATAACGTTCTTAAGCACGAAATTCACTTTATCAGAGATATTGACTTTTTGAAAATTTGATAGATTTCTCTATAGCTTGTAGTACTAAAGGGTATCAATGAAGGGCAGAATATAATATGGCGGCTAATTAATCCTAGATTAAGTGTGCAATGAACATATTCGTTATTATTAAATATATTGCCCTACGATTGTGCTACATCTATGTAAATCGAGTTTAATTAACTTATATATGTTGTCGTGTAAATTTACATTACTAATTTCTTGAAAAGACAACTATAAGTTACCTTTAAAAAGAATTATAATCTTTGAAAATAAGACAATTACCTGTTAACAGGAAAAGATAGCCCAATAATAAATAAAATAAAAATTATTTACATCGTCAGCAGATATTAATTAAGCTTCTATGTAAATGCAAATTTAGGACTCCTTTTAGTAGCAACATTTAAAACCTCTTAGAAGTTTTTATAGTTTTTCTTTTTACACTGTCGATGTAATTTAACGTAATAATAGGTTCATTATCATTTTTCCCATATTACGAAATCATATTACTTATAAGATAATTAGAGGTAAATTACATGACAATTATTATTTGATTACCGAATAAACATTGTTATCAAACTGTCATGACAATTATTATATACTTTGATTACCTAATAAACAAGGTAATCAATCTGTTATAGCATGTACAATACACTTACTAGTGTAAAATATCTTCATATAATATTATCATCGTATATAGCTCAATTTCAAACTAAACTTTTCCACAAAATTTTACTTTAATTTTAATCTTTTTAAATAATTCAAATATACAAAATATTCATACCACTAGTACCTATACCTCAAAAATTTCTTTGGTCAAAACTAAAGGCTGCACACCGTTTTGTTGCATATTTGAAACAATTGATTTGACACTTCTTAAAATTGGATCCAAAAGAACGTACCTTAAATAAACCTTTCATATATGAGACTTTCTAGATGATGGCTAAGGAAACATTGCCACTTGGCCACATTGATACCAAACTTTGGCCAAGGTGTACTCTTGTCTTTCTCCTTGGGTTTACACTCTACCTACACCTCACCCCCTAAGCTTATTTTTAATGCATATTTAATTTAATGAAAGAATAAGACATATTCCACGTTCAATAGTATATGTCATTTGATCTTTAGTATAATAGGTGGGATTGGATCAACTCGGAAAAAGAGGTGAAAATATCTTGAACAAGGAAAATACCATATGTATATCCATCCATATCTTGACTAATCCATCTCTATAAAGTCCTTGAAACAATGATCTATATATACTTTGTTAAAGAAAAGGTAATTTTAAATTTAATTCTTTTATCTTAGTTTTAATTATATGTTCTTATAGCTAAATAAATGTTATGATATGCTTAAAACTACAAGTTCTGCAGAGATTATTAATATGTGTCACACGTTTTTCTTTCTTTTTTAAATATACCGTCCGTGCTCAATCGGTCACTAAAAGGGCAGTCTGATGCATTAAGCTCTCGATATGTGGGGGATTCGGAGAAGGGCCGAACAACAAGAGTCTAGTGCTCAGTCCGTCACTAATATATAAATATAAAATATAAAAAAAGGATTACTCTTCTTTTCCTCAATACTCTATTATATACTCCATATAAAAGTCTCACTAGCTACTCAAGAACTTTGAGACTCTCCCTTTGACAACCAAACAATACCAAAAGATGTCAAGTAACTCAAGCCCACTAGAAATAGACACTTCATTTTCACATTCCAATTTCTTCTTTTTCCAAGATCAATCACCAATTTTACAATGGGATGATGATCTTTTCTTCAATAATCCATTGTTTGATGATGATCAATCACCAATACCATATAACTCAGAGAAAGATGAAAATCATCAAATATTTGAAGAATCCTCAGACAATACAATTATATCAAAAGGAAGCACTAGCCATGGTCAAGAATTAGAAGAGGTAACATCCCAAGAAGAAAAAGAAAAAGAAAAAGAAAAAGAAAAAAAGCATTATATAGGAGTTAGAAAAAGGCCATGGGGTAAATATGCAGCAGAAATAAGAGATTCAACAAGAAATGGAATTAGGGTTTGGTTAGGAACATTTGATACAGCTGAAGAAGCTGCTTTAGCTTATGATCAAGCTGCATTATCAATGAGAGGTCCGTGGTCTCTTCTTAATTTTCCATTGGAAAAAGTTAAGAAATCACTTGAAAAAATTGAGTATTCTTGTAAAGATGGATTGTCTCCTGCTGCTGTTCTAAAAGCTACTCATAAAACAAGGAGAGTGAAGCATAAAAGAAGTAGTAGAAAGAAAAAGAATAAAGAAAATCATAATGTTCTTGTTTTTGAGGACTTGGGAGCTGAATTATTAGAAGAGCTTTTAATGAGTTCGTCGTAACATTCGTGTCGAAGGCATTGGATTCAGTTTGCCAGACGGATGGAAATTAGTTTGTAATAACATTCGTGTCGAAGTCACTGAGTTCAGTTTTCCTGAAAGAGGAAAAAAAATTATCTCCCAATCGCTTTCAGTTGGTGTTTATTGATGAGTTATTACTCGCTATCTAACTGGAAAAAATGATTCAGAAAATTCCGCCCAAAAAAAAAATTACTGGAAGGAAGACTATCAGAATCTCACGATCTACGAGTTTGTAAAACTTCCTCAGTTCCTCTTTTTTATTTTGTTTTTATTTCTGAATTCTTGGTTTTTGAGGAATTGGGAGTTTAGTTTTAAGAACTTTTGATGGGTACAATCTCAAAAATAATGTTTCGACTTGTTTGTGCATATAAATTTGCCTTTTTTTATATTTAATTTTTCACTTTGATTGCTGGTGTTATAAATAAATTAAATATGATGCTCGCCGGGAGATTCCTCTTCTTCTTTTGGAAATTTCGGTAGTTCGAAAATAAAAAAAAGTACTCCATCTTTTAAAAAACAACAATCCATTTTTTCTATAAACATTAAATACTTGCTTAGACTTTAACTTTTGCATTGATTTGATATTATATTTGTAATTTAAACTTATCATGGCATTAATCTAGCTATAATTATAATTTAAAGCATATCATTGTGAATAAATATAATAGAGGCCCTACAAAATGAAACAATATTGGGAATACTATTGTCCCATTTGAGTAGATTAGTTGTCAATTGTCACATAGGAAAAAGTCACAAAATCTTGAATTTATAGTGCATATTGTATATCGAAGATATCATGCATGACGAAGAAATTAAAAAAATAAAATAAAATAAAATTTAAACGACCTTTACACTAATCCCATTTTACTGTGTACTACATCACAGGGAGCTCGTACGTTGTTCTTGGGGCATTTTAAATAGATTTTTAATTTGATTAGATATGGTTGTAAACAAAGATTTTTCTAAGTATCAAAAGTATTTTGAAACTTGTATCGTTAAATATGTCATAAGTTTTTCTTTATGATGCCGGTGTCTGAGCAAAGTTGGCACACTTCGACTATTCCACTGCATATGACAGTGAACGGAATCAGAAATTTGAGTAATCGAATTAAAGAAAATGTAAAATTGTCACACTTAAAATTAAATATGAACCTAAGTAAATGACTCAACATTTTATATGGAGACAAAAAATTTATTTTTATCCTATTTTTTACAGCATACTTTTCCAGCATTTAACCCCCTTCACCAAAGGTAGCAACACCCTTGATATCTATTACCTTCACCATCACAAATACCAGATATATGCCTTAAAAAATGGGAAAAATCACATAATAATATTTTCTTACTTCTGCTGAACATGTCTTTTTTTTTTCGCTATACATATATATCATTGAAAATAAAAATAAAATTTAAAGCTAATAAATCCTTAACTATAAAAGGTATTAATATATTAAAACAGACTAAAAAAAAAAAGAATACTGTTATTGTCCCTTTCCTTTTCAATTCTGATTCCCTTTCTAAGATTAGTTGTCACCTTGTCACTTATGGAAAGTCGCAAAATCTTGAATTTTGAGTATTGAAAATGGCTTCCATCATCACTATGAAAAAAAACAAAAAAAATTATCTACCTTTACACCTACAATCCCATTTTACTGTGTCTACCCCATAAAAAGGAGACCAATTACTTACATTATTCTTGGGACGTTTCATAATTAAGTAGGCACTTATGCCAAATAGAATAATTTATAATATCCTTTGTGCATTCCGATTATATTGTTTCTTTTTTTTTATTTGAAAAATAGAGTTCTTTGTTTAAGCTATTCATTTGTCTCTGGCTAGAAAGCCGATGTTGATTTTGTTTTTTGTTTAATTCATTTCTTAATAATCAAGTGTCATTATTCTTCTTTTGGAATTACACCATTGTTGGTCCTCTTGTCGTGAGATGAAAGTGAAACGCTTGTACGAGTGAAACAAAGATCATATCGTGTCACCAATTTTGACCTTTAGAAAACGATTATCCCATTTTATATGAATATGGATGATGGAACTGTATATACGCAGTAAAATATAAAGAGAAATATATATATATATATATATATATATATATATATATATATAGATGGTAAATATAACTTTTATTACCAAGTAGAATATTTACAGTTCATCTAACTATTACAAAGATCTGTCTAGCCTATTACCAACTGGACATGCAGCCCAGTAAGTTGATATCTAGTCTTCGATTCTCCTATATCTTCCTCTACCACCCCTACTTTTCTGTGCTTAACTAGTTTCCGGATACCAGTTCAAAGTAGTTATCACCTTGTCTAGGTAAGAGAACCTTGTTGCCCTAACGTGAACTTCCTGTATTATAAGCTTGGTTAGGGCAGTTGTTGTCCTTCTCTTCTTATGAAAGGTCACGAAGTTCCTCTCCTGCCAACAGTGGTATATTGCAGCTGTTAATGTCATTCTGCAGATAGCTGCTCTTGCACTCTTGCCCTTTGCCATCTTCTCCATCCATGCAATCTCATCCTGCCAGTTGTTGTGTGATCTTTGAATTCCTTGCCATCTTAGTAGTCCATCCCATACCTTCCCTGTAATTTCACATTTGAAAAATATATGCCGCATTGTTTCATTTTCCTTATTGCATAGCAAGCATGTTTGATCCACATCTATCCCCCACCGTATCAGCCTGTCTTTGGTAGCTAGCCTCTGCTGTAATGCTAATCTCAATATGAATATCCATTTTGGCTGTCCTTGGTTGTTGCACACTAATTTTCTCCATGTTACTCTTTGACATACACATTGCAATGATCTGTAAATTCCTTTGATGGAGCACTTTGTCATTAGTTGAACATCATCTTCATTCATTCCAGCTCTTGCAAAGTGATTCTTAGCCTGAAATATTTTCTGAATTTCCCAAGAGGCATTCTTTGGTTCTACATTCCACACTGCTTGGCCTTTGACATAATAAGTATGTACCCAATGAACCTATAACTTCTCCTTTCTGGTACATATATTCCATAGCAATTTGCAGATAGCAGCTTCATTCCATAATTCCACATCTATGAAATTCAATCCCCCTGCAGCCTTAGGTGAACAAAGTCTCTCCCAAGCAATCAAGGCTTTCTTTGTTGGTTCAGCATCTCTTGTCCACAAAAACCTCCTACAGATGGTCTCTATGAATAGGATAACCTTTTTAGGCAGTATGAAGATCTGTGCCCAGAATGTTTGGATGGCAAATAATACACTCTTTACTAGGACTGCTCTCCCTGCATATGACAAGTACTTTGTTGTCCAGTTCTGAATTCTGTGCAATATTTGCTCTATTAGTGGCTCACATTGTATAGCTGATAGTCTCTTAGTACTCAGTGGGATCCCTAGATATCTGAAAGGCAGTTCTCCCTTATTATACCCAAGTACCTCCATAATTTGTTTCTGAATCACCTGATTTACCCCTCCAAAATAGATGCTGCTCTTTTTTGGATTGGCAATCAGTCCTAATGCTGCAGAGAACTTCTGAAAGTGAAGGTGTAGTATCTGTACTGACTGCACTTCCCCTTTACAAAATAATAGTAGATCATCTGCAAACCCCAGTTGCACTAAGTTAAACTTGGCACATCTGGGATGATATTTAAACTTCTTGTCCTCCTTTAAAGTCTTTAATGAACTTCTCAAATATTCCATAGCCAGAACAAATAAAAAGGGTGATAGTGGATCACCCTGCCTTAGTCCCTTTTTTGCCTCAAAAGGATCTGTTGGTCTGCCATTTATGAGAACTGAATAAGTCACTGTACTAATACAAACCATTATCCATCTCACAAAGATCTCAGGAAAATTCAGTGCCCTCAATACTTGTTCAATGTACCTCCACTCCACAGAGTCATATGCTTTTTGCATGTCAATCTTAAGCATACATCTAGGGGAGATATTCTTCCTTCCATAACCTTTCACTAGCTCATGACTCATTAAAATGTTATCTGTGATCAGCCTGCCAGGAACAAAAGCAGCTTGGCAATTATCCACCAATCTGTCCATTACTCCTTGCATTCTTGTTGTTATCACTTTGGATATGATCTTGTATAAAACTGTACAGCATGAAATAAATCTGAAATCTTTTATGTTTGTTGGATTTTGAACTTTTGGAATCAGTGTGATTGTTGTGCAGTTGATGGCCTTACACATGTCAGCATTCTCAAAGAATTCTTGCACTGCTGTAGTTATTTCCTCACCCACAATGTGCCATGTTTTTTTAAAGAAGTACGAATTATATCCATCACACCTTGGGGCCTTGTTGTCATCTATGCGCAGTAGAGCCTGCTTCACTTCTTCCCTGCTGACTGGTTTAATTAGCTATAATTGCTGGCTCCTGTTCAACACATTGCCATTCTTTATTACTTCATAGTTGATCATTGGTAGCTGTGTAGTTGAGCTACCAAGTAGCCCTCTGTAAAACTTTAGGATTTCTGCCTTTACCTCTTCATGGCTCTATAGTATATCCCCATTGCTATCAATTATCCTACCAATGTTATTCCTTGCTTGTCTATTTTTCATACAGGTATGGTAAAAAGCTGTATTAGAATCTCCCAAGTTAAGCCACTGAACTCTGGATTTCTGTTTTGCAATGCTCTCCTCCACCATTAGCCATTTCTCCAGCTCCACTTTAGTAGTTCTTTCCGACTCAATATACATTCCTTCTTGATCAGGATGTCTCATTTGATTTTGTATACTTTCTAATCTTTCTCTAGCCTCCTGTATCTTGCTCTCAATGCCACTGAACTCCTCTTTATTCATCTGCTTCAATAAACCTTTTAACTTCTTCAGTTTGTTCCACACTGTCAGCATTGTTTGTCTGCTCTTTCCATGCTCCCATCCCTTCTGCACTGTACCTTCAAACGACTGTAGGTTCACCAGGCAATTCAAGAACTTGAAAGGTTTCCCCCCAGCTCGTCCACTTATATCAAACTTCACACTTAAAGGGCAATGATCTGAGAATCCAGGATTCATTATCATCCCCTCCATGTTAGGCCACATTTGAATCCATTCAGCATTTACCAGAATTCTGTCAATTCTACTATGCACATGGTTATTTGTCCATGTGTATTTCCTTCCCACTGTCTTCAATTCAGCTACATTTGCATCCATCAAGAATTTTTTAAATTCCCTTATCTCCATCTCCTGTACAGGAGTTCCATTAAATCTATCTTCACTAGTTAGAATTGTATTGAAGTCTCCAATTATAAGGCAAGGGTTCCTTATGTTTACCACTGATAGTAACATCTCCTCCCATAGGTTCTTCCTGTCATGTATTGTATGTTTCCCATAAACAGTACATAGATGGAACTGCACATTCCGCTGCATTAAAGTTACTTTCCCCAAAATGAATTGTTCATGTT